CCTTCAGACTGCGGCCCTCCTTGGCGATGATTTCAACACACCTACGGAAGGAAAGAGAGGCGAGTTTAGTGGAGCTTTAAGTGCTTCCGCTATGAAGGGATAGAAAGGGAGAAAAAATATTGCTGCTATAAAAAGAAACCCCAACAGTGGTGATGAGGGCATCTTTCAGATCACAAGAACCAACTTGTATGATGCATTATACTAGCTTGTAAAGGTGCACAATGTCATTTCGAGGGGAAGGGTCTGCCGCAGGCTTCGATTTACTTGAAGCAAGATACATTGTGTACATTTAATAACATTCTTTGAAACATTCTCGGCTAAGCGGCGTCATTGTCAGCAGAGGGCAAATTAACATAACAAGTCCAGCGTAGGTGTTTGAACATTTGAAACACAGTGCTTTTTGCACTGCCAATTACCGGCAAATACCATCGAAAACACAACTTGGTAACCTAACCCTTTCCAAAGTCTTTACATAGTGGCCGTTTATTTGTGTTTCAGAAATAAGTTCCATGTTTGTGTATCCTACGTCAATACACCGCAAATACAAAAATCCTCCATTTGACGCAGTCTTAACCATGAAAATCTGGAGCAAAATCCCAGAGCAATTTTTCAGCAGCCATGTTTGAAAGAAGCAGAATATATGACTAGGCCAGAAGGGTTGATAAAGTATACCAAACCAACTTATGTCTTAAATTGAGAGAAACCCACACGTTCACAAAGTCAGAAAGCAATTTGGAATTGCGTTGTACTGATTAGCTTTACAAATAATCACAAGCATTCATTTAATAAAGGCTGCCAGACTTTTTTCATTCACCTTGCCTTCTTTATATGCGCTTGCTTGGGCCGTCTTCTTTTCAAAACAACGCTCCCAGCTGTTTTCTTTCCCTTAAACTCCAGCTTTTACTTCTCACACAGCAAAGGTTAAAGCTTACAGCTGCGGGGGTCACAACTGCTCACGGATTCAGCCCCCGCTCGTGCTTGCTCCTGCTTTCCTTTTCTTTTTTTTTACCACACGCATTAATAATTAAGCACCTGATGTGATTAAAGAAGCTCTGAGCGTGGCGCAGCAGGAGCGAGGAGGAACCCGTGCATACTGGTGGGCACACGCAGGCGCGCAACAGCCAACCCCAGCGCTCACTTCAAAGGGCGCGATTTGATTTCAGCCCCTGTTTTTCCACCAGCCCCGAGGAGTGTGTGTGTGTGTGTGTGTGTGTGGGGGGAAGCGAGGGAAGTATACGCAGGGGAAGGCCCAAAGGCAAGATCAGAGTAACTGTATGAAATGATTCTCTTCTAAATGCTCCTAATGAGAAGAGTGTGCGCAACATCGGCGTTCTGATCGTGCATTTGACCTATTACCCTTCGGCGGAGGGGCTTTCTAACATGGATGTACGCAAGAGTTCTGGGGCATTAATATGGATGAGGCGCAAATCCGAACTGTACAGACCCAGAATATTTAAGTGGAAGAGGATGCCATGTTTACATTGTGCGCATTTAGGAAGGGTTGGTCGAGAATGTAAACAAATTGCCTCCAAGATGCAATTCTAAGGCACTGCTACCAATGACTGTCAGCAGATTCATACAAAGCAATGTGGTTGAAGTGGCTTGACTAAGGACACGAGAACTATACCTAGAATTAGTCTGGTGTGTGTATGGTTGGTGGTCGTCTGAGGGTCTGATGGCACAGACTGGTTCCCTCTCTTCTGTCAGTGTGCCCCAGGGAACTGTCTTTGAGTGTCCAAAAAAACTTTATAAAACCGATTCATCATTGTTATTAAAAGGTATATAGGAGGATGTTCTACTTCCGGGTGGATCATCCATTGGTCCACCTAATTGTCAATGCTTCTGGTGATACGTGCTCGTCAAACAAGACCAGAGAGTTTTATCAAAAAGTGGTGAGGGCGGTTCTTTCCTAAAATTTGGGAAAATCCTCCTATATCCCTTTAATAACAGTTTAGTATGCAGGAGTTCCACTGTAGCACCTATAGTATTCCCAACTGTCTCCCATCACAGTACTAACCAGGCCATGTACTGCTTATGAGATCAGATTGCATCAGGCTTTGAAAAGAATCTACAGTAGAGCCCTGCACTTGAGCCCTTGGCCCGAGGGCCCCGACGGCCCGACAGCCCGAGGGCCGGGCTTCGGGCCGATGACCGCATAATGACCTCGGACACGGGCCGGGCTCGGGCTCTTCATTTTCAGAGCGGCAGAATAGATTTACGAGCGCACCCAATATAGCGTTCTATCACGCTGTAGTGTTTGTTGTTCTGTGTAGTGTTGTCATTACTTATGTTTACACATCGGCACATAGCATTACTTATGTAATGTGCAGATGTGTTGCAGCATCGGGGGCATCATACAGATGCGGCCGTTCACTCTGCACCACTCCGCACACACAGAACTCATTGCAACACATCACTACCATATATAACTCCGCCCTCTAGCTAAGTCTGCGTTCATATCAGTGCGCGGCACTATATACTACGCTAAAACATTGTTATGGGAGGTTACAAAAAAAAAAAGGCGGGCTTGATGCGGGTTTCGGGCCTGAAAATTCAGAAACCATATCGGGCCGGGCCGGGCTGGGGCGCCACCCCCTCGGGCCCGGGCCGGGCTCGGGCCCAGATAATAGGCCCGTGCAGGGCTCTAATCTACAGCCACGGTGTAGAGTCATAACACGCTAAACTTGATTTTGTCCGACAATGCAACTTAAAGGCCAAGAACTGAACGGAACAAAACTTGTTTTCTTGAAAAAAAATTCCCTAAATCAACACATAAACAATGCAACACATTACACACTATGTTCCTGTATAATTTGAATTTAAATGTATTGCAGTTTGTACATGTGTGAATTATGTGCGTTAGGTCCCTTTAATTGCTTGCAATAGTGTGTCATTCAATCAATGGGGAACAAGAAAAAACAGATCAACACAGGATTTGGCACAGAAGGAAAACGTGAGCACAACCACCAACCAACAATCATCATTCGTAGCTCTGAGACTGTCACATAATGCTCTCCAAATCACAAAGACAAACGGGAGAAAGTAAAAATGTGTGTAATCATTGGGCCCCGAGTCAGGCCAATGCTGTAAAAATGAGCAGTGGCCGGTGTGATGGAGTTCATTGAGACTCTTCATAATTCACCTCTTTCCAATACATTCCAGCACTTGCCTCTGCACCAGACCATTCTTAGGCCTCTGTCTGCCTCGGTTTACCGTCTTGCCTGCCCCAACCCAAAGCCTCCATATGACGAGTATGCGGTGACATGCACTGTGATATCGTTATAGTGGATTATTTATTGATTTTAACAGGTTTATATGGCTGTTGAGATTTTCCACAATACCAAAAAAGTATTAAATTATCACTGGATGTGTTGTTTTGGTGGACCATTCATTTAAAATTAGGATTCATTTCAGATGGTTAGTCAGCAAGTTATAATCCATCCAACAGTTTTCAATCTCTTACAATATGCAATGTGATTTTAGCTTCCAGTTTCACCAAACACAATTACAAACGGCAAAAAATTAATTTGCCGTGGCTTTCCTATTCAGGTCGTGTCGCAGTTTCTCAAGCCATAAATTGGAATAATTTATTAAAAAGGCAGAATTAGAATTTTCAGTGTGTCTTGGGGTTACAAGGATGGGCGATTGCAAATGAATAGTGGTGCTGGAACGAGTCAGAGAGCAAATAGATAAAAAGCGAGGAGCTGGGTTTAGCACAGGCTCCGGGGCCGTCCTCTGGGAGCTTGTTACACTGTGCCCAGGTCCCCAGGGTCAAAGCAAAAGCAATTAGATCAGACATCAGTGAGCGGCCAGCAGGGGAAGGAGGGAGAGGAGGAGGTAAAAAAAACGAAGAGCGAACAAACAGGAGAAAGAGTGACAGCCAGAAGAAGGAGCAAAGGGCATACTGACGAGGATACACAGACAGGACAAACAAGGGGTTTTCCAAAAAAAGTGATACTTTTAATATTGGTAGTTATTGACATATACTTTTGGATATTAATGATATTAATTTCCAATGCAAAACAAATAGGAAAGTGCCGTATATGGAATTACTGACTTCTTAGTGACTTCAGAATGGTCTCTTGTTCATCTCTATGGGAAAAATAAGCACTTTGGATGACCTTGGTCTGTAAAAATGCGCTTACTTAATTACCCATAAACAGAAATGTTTAACACAGTTTAACCCATTTCTTATCGAGATACGAGCGCTGCTATTCAGGGCTAGGCCACATATCCAGAGCGACTGACTGAAAGGGAAAGAAAAGAATAATAGTGATGCTAACAAAGACGAGCTAACAGAAGGTAAGGGAAATGCATTCATCTACCACGGGTGATAAAGCCAGATAATGTTAGCTGTACTCTCACTCACGCTTGTGTTTACATTTAGCTTGTGTCCCGTTGAAATATTCCAACTTCTTTGCACTATTATCCTGTGTGTATGGTCTCGTTTGAGTTCAGAAGTTTGAAATTAATAATCGCTATATGGTTTTACGCCTCTCCTCCATGTGCTGCTGTTCGTCTGAGTGGTGATGCATTGGAAACTGTGCTATTGGCATCAAATTGCAGGATAATCTGTCTTGAGGGTGATATTGTATTACATTTAAGACACAAGAGAGTTAGATATTATAAATTGCACATGAATAAATACAGTAAAGAATACATTGATGCCGTTTCTATGGCATTGCTTTACTGTGATATACAGTAGTTCCTGGGATGACCAATGTAAACAAAAGTAAGAGATAAGATATAATCCCACAGTGGGGAAAATCCAATGTAAAAATAATCGGAAAAAAACAAAACAATCCAACATATGATCAAAATGAGAATACTGAGGGGGCACCACTGAGCGGTGAAGGAGTAGGAGGTGTTTGTGAGAGCTCCGTCCGCAAAATCCTTTAAAAACTTATACAAAGGCCAATAAGCAAGTTATTTATACCGAAGGGGAGTGCCTCTACCACTACGACGTCGAGGCTTCACTTCTGACTGGTTATTTCAACACGATGCCAGGAAAAGGCAGGAAGCAGAAAACAGCCCATGTAGGCCCCGACCAGACACCGAGCTCGCGTGATATGGACGCCCACGAGGAATCCACTGATGACGAAGAAGATACCTCTAACCGAGCCGTATTGGCGGCCATCACAGCCCTCAAAGGTGAAATGGCCAAAATGAAAGATGACATTTGTGCGAATGTAGACAGACGCATTGAACGCGTTTATAACGATTTGAGGCAAGAGATAACAATGGCGAACAACTCCGTCCAAGCATCCATAGCTAGCATCGAAGCTAATTCTCAGAAGTTACATGACAAAGCAGCTGATATGGAACGGGCCGCAACCGCACATTCCGATAGCATTAGCCAGCTCGAGTAACAAGTGGCTAGCCTAAATTCTGATGTGGCTACACTCAAACAAAAGAATGAAGAACTGGAGGGAAACTCGCGGAGGAATAACATCAGGATCACTGGTATTTGTGAGGGCTTAGGTATGACAAAACCGAGGGACTTTATTGCCACTTTACTGAAGGATGCCCTCGCACTAAATGAACAACCGATGATTGACAGAGCTCACAGAACTCTACGACAGCGTCCGAGTCCATCTGAGCCCCCACGTCCCTTTGTTATACGCATTCACCACTATCACGTTTTGGAAGAGATCCTTCGCAAAGCGGCCACGATTAAAAACCTCCAATATCAAGGCAAAACTATACGAATCTTCCCCGACTACCCTCCTACAGTGGTTAAGCGAAGGGCCCTATTCAACAGAGCAAGACAAGTACTACGCAATCAACCAGACGTCAGATATGGCCTGCTCTACCCTGCAAGACTCCTGGTGACACACAACGGCTCCCAGCTATCCTTCACCGACCCACAGAAGGCTGAGGAGTATGCTGAACGTCTCACGGGCTCGGCGCGTCCCCAGATGGTAGAAGCAATGTGATGCGAATTGAAGTACAGTAATGACAATCGCTCAGGAACTTTTTGTTTTGTTTTACTACCTCATACTATGTTATTGATGTTTGGTATGATAACGCTATACAGTATAGTAGTCGAGAACAAGTTATACTGTATTTTATTGATAACAAGTTCTACTGTATTTTATTGGGAACAAGTTCTACTGTATTTTGTTATAACCACGAAAGTTTACTATATTATAATATAATGTTAATGAAGCTGTTTATCACTATTTCGAACTCCAGGTTAGGAGTAATCCCCTTTGTTTTATTTTTCGTTTACAAATGGCCGTAACTTTATAGACTCGACGGGCCACCCCCCACAGAGAGTAACAGTCTTAGCAAGTTAAGTTACTCAACAGGGAAGTTAGTTTAGTTCTTGCTTCCCAGTGACATTTCCTGAGGCTACCTAGTGTTAGCCAGAGGTGTTTATATTTATGTTGTTTACTTTTTTGTTCATTCTGTTCACAGCCCTGAAAATGCAGAATCCTGTTGTTTATACAAGTGTAGAAGTAATATCGCCTTATTACAGATTTCTGAATGATGTTCTTACTCATATTCCATTTCTTTTTCCATATGTCACATGACAGATTCTCAAAGTGCTAAAAGAGGATTGACATTTACTAGTTGGAACATAAGAGGTGGAAACAACCCTGTGAAAAGAGGTAAAGTTATGAACCATTTAAAATCCCTACATTCAGATATTATTTTCTTACAAGAGACTCATTTAAAGAATAATTCTCATATAGACTGAAAGCGAAATGGGTAAAAGAAGTGTACCACTCATCCTTCTCTGCTAAATCAAGAGGCACAGCCATACTAATTAAGCGAGGGGTGCCCTTTATACATAAACTAACTATAACTGATAAAGAAGGTCGCTATGTCATTATCTCTGGAGAGATCCAAAACACGTCAGTAACACTAGTTAACTTGTATGCACCGAACACTGATAATCCAACATTCTTTAAGAAAGTGTTCATTTTAATCCCCAATATATCACTAACAAAATTGATAATAGGTGGTGATTTTAACACACCATTAGATCCATACCTTGATAGATCAGCCACACGTAAAACACCCAAGAGCAACTCAAGTGTTTTTCTGAATGCATATTTCGTGAATATGAATTTATTAGATCTATGGCGCCTCAATAACCCATCAGGAAGAGATTACTCATTCTTCTCACCAGTCCACAATTCTTACAGCAGGATTGACTACTTTATTATAGACGCACAATTGGCCCCATTCACAGTGGATTCTAAATATCATCCCATCACAATATCTGACCATAGCCCATGTACATTTAGTTTACATTTGGAAGGCATGGACCCACCCAGCAGATCTTGGAGAATGAACCCTCAGTTACTTACAGAAAAGGAGTTTTGTGAATTCATAGAGACTCAAATACGTTTATACTTTGAGATAAATGATACACCAGATATCACTTCATTTACCCTATGGGAGGCCTTTAAAGCCTATCTGAGAGGATGTGTCATCTCATATGAAGCTGCTAAAAGGAAAAACGAGACTACTCAATACAAACAACTGGAGGAACAGATACAGCAACTAGATCACAAAAATGCATTAACCCCCACCCCTGATTTACACAGAGAAATAACACACTTAAAATACCAACTCAACCAACTTCTCTCAAAGAAAATCACATCAGCCTTTTTATTTACCAAACAAAAATACTTTGAATTTGGTGAAAAACCAAATAAATTATTAGCTCAACAACTCAGGAAAATGGAAGCAGATAGAACTATTCACAAAATCAAAAATGATAAGGGCCATCTGCTCACTAAACCTAAAGATATAAACACAACGTTTTTACAATTTTACTCTGATTTATACACTTCCAAATGCAATATTGATCCTGATGTCATGTCCAAGTTTCTAGATAAATGTAACCTACCATGTCTCTCTTCTGTAGACTTAGATAAACTAAATACTGATATCCACCCGACAGAAATTCAAAAGTCAATTACCACCATTAAAAGTGGTAAAGCACCTGGTCCAGATGGCATACCGGTCGAACTTTACAAAAAGTTTAGTAATATCCTCATACCATATCTCCATAGAATGTATAAACAAGCCTTACAAGATGGCACACTACCACCTACTCTTACTCAAGCAACAATTACAGTTATCCATAAGAAGGATAAAGACGAATTAAATGTTGGATCATATCGGCCAATTTCATTATTAAATATAGACTATAAGATATATGCAAAAAATCTCTCCAATAGATTAAGCCCTCTAATGGAATCGCTAATTCATAACGACCAAACTGGTTTTATAACAAACAGAAACTCGACATCCAACCTGCGCAGACTGTTTGACATTTTATATACTGATAGGAGAATACATAATGATCTCGCTATTCTGACTCTTGATGCAGAAAAAGCGTTTGATCAGATAGAGTGGGAATATTTGTTTGAAGTGCTTAAACGCTTTAATTTAGGTGAGAAGTTTATGAATGGGATTAGACTTCTATACACTAACCCTAAAGCCCAAATTCGCACAAATCAAAACCTGTCTACATGCTTTAATCTGCACAGAGGGACCCGCCAAGGCTGTCCCCTTTCAGCACTAATCTTTGCTCTCGCAATCGAACCATTAGCACAAAGTATACGTTTAGACCCTCAAATATTCGGCTACCAGACTAAGGCTACAAATAATAAGATCTTGCTATACGCTGATGATATTCTGCTGTATGTGACTAAACCCCGCCTCTCAATTCCGTCCATTCTAGGAAAAATTGAAATGTTTGGGAAATTTTCAGGTTATCGTATAAACTGGACAAAAAGTATATTAATGCCGATCCACCCGATTCCTCAAACAACGCTATCAAAATTCCCGTTCAAGGTATCCATTGATAAATTTACTTATTTAGGCATAGTGGTTACAAAACAATTTACCTCACTCATAAAGTCGAATTTTATACCATTATTGGATCAACTTAAAATTAAGATTCAGTTTTGGAGAACATTGCCAATATCCTTACTAGGAAGGATAAATGCTATTAAGATGGTCTTCCTACCACAAATCCTGTATTTGTTTCAGAATATCCCCATGTTTCTCACAAAATCTTTCTTCAAGAAAATTGACTCGATTGTTCAACCATTCCTATGGAATTACAGAACCCCAAGGATTATGAAAAAACACTTAACCAAACCTAAGGTAAATGGGGTCTTTCCCTTCCGAATTTTATAATGTACTACTGGGCATGTGCCTTCAAAAATATAAACTCTTTCATGACTACTTCAAACAACCCTCCCACCTGGTTAAATTTAGAACTTGAAGATTGTAATCCATATGCACCTGTTGCTATAGTACTCTCACCAACCCCAATTGACAAATCAAAATACAATCAAAATCCGATTATACACAACCTAATTCGTATTTGGAAACAAATCAAATCCCATTTCAACCACAAAACAATCCCCCATACACTACCAATCGCAAAAAATCCGTCCTTTGCCCCTTCTATTTTAGATTTGACCTTTAACGAATGGAGTAGACTGGGGATAGACTGCATCCGTGACCTATACATTGATGGTAACTTTGCTACATTCGCACAATTACAGGCAAAATTTGAATTGCATGGCCACAATTTCTTTAGGTATCTACAGGTCAGGGACTATGTACGTAAATGTACAATAAGTTTTGAAAATGAAACACAGACCATCATTGATGACTGCTTGAACACACCTGCAAGCAAAGATAAATTCATTTCCATCATCTATAATAAGTTACTGATGATTAACTCCCCCTCTTCGAATAAATATAAGGAAAGTTGGGAGAAAGACATGTGCCTTAAGATTCCTGATGATATCTGGGAAGAAGCTCTTGAATGTATACACAGTTGCTCCAACAATGCCAGACACTGTCTAATACAATTCAAAATCATGCATAGACTCCATTACTCCAAAGTTAAAATCCATAATATTTTCCCAAACACATCATCAACATGTGATAAGTGTCTGTCCTCTGATGCAACACTGTTCCATGCCTTCTTCAACTGCCCTAAACTTACTACTTATTGGTCTGAAATATTTAATACTTTGTCAAAAACTCTTAAGTTTACATTGCTCCCAGACCCTCTGCTAATCATCTTTGGAACTTCGCAGCGGTTTCGACAGCTCACTCTAGCACAACGTCGGTTTATTTCCTACTCTCTCATAACCGCAAAAAAGATACTACTCATGTCTTGGAAGGGACCGACCGTGCCAAATGCTAGGGTGTGGCTGCGGGACTTGTCAAATACATTACACCTTGAAAGGATTAGATATTTATTAAAAGATAATATTTCATCATTTCAGAACATCTGGCAACCATTCATAGAATTTCTGCAATCTACATGAACATAAATAAGTTTGAATATACACAATTTATGCAAACCTTGTATTGTTGGGCTCTAGTTTGTTTTTGTTTTTGTTTTGTATGTTTTATTTTATATAAAAAAGTTTGAGCCTCAATTATTATGTTTAATATTTGTGATGTATAAGATGCTCAATAAAAAACTTTTTTGAAAAAAAAAAAAAAAATGAGAATACTGAATGCATTGATGGTCACTTTCCTATGGGGGAACAGCCTCCGCCTGTCTCGATCTTTCTAATCTATGGTGAACATGGACAGAGGAGGTGTGAGAAACATGAAAGGCCTGGACTAAAAACCACCCACCTGCAGCTGCCAACGCTGCGAGTCTCATATGACATGAATTAGTGATCGTCTCACTTTCAATAATGTACAGGCAGGTGACAAAAGCCCCTGTCGGACGATGAGAGCATATTGATGCGAGGAGAGAGGCATCTATGCAGCTAACAGGGAGAAGACATTGAGATGCACAGCGCAGGCGTCACAAAGAGACGGGCCATGTGGAGGCGGTGACGGAATGAAAATGTGGTGGATGGAGTAAATGTATATATTATTATACTTACTCATAATATTAAAGTATCAGGGTATTATTAATATTAGGGGAACT